TGGGTCTTGTAGGACCGATAATGGGAATCTGGCAAGATGGTTCTTGTAGGACCGATAATGGGAATCTGGCAAGATGGGTCTTGTAGGACCGATAATGGGAATCCGGCAAGATGGGTCTTGTAGGACCGATAATGGGAATCCGGCAAGATGGGTCTTGTAGGACCGACAATGGGAATCCGGCAAGATGGGTCTTGTAGGACCGACAATGGGAATCCGGCAAGATGGGTCTTGTAGGACGACTATGGGAATCCGGCAAGATGGGTCTTGTAGGACCGACAACGGGAATCCGGCAAGATGGGTCTTGTAGGACCGACAACGGGAATCCGGCAAGATGGGTCTTGTAGGACCGACAATGGGAATCCGGCAAGATGGGTCTTGTAGGACCGACAATGGGAATCCGGCAAGATGGGTCTTGTAGGACCGATAATGGGAATCCGGCAAGATGGGTCTTGTAGGACCGATAATGGGAATCTGGCAAGATGGGTCTTGTAGGACCGGTAAGGGGAATCTGGCAAGATGGGTCTTGCATGACCGGTAAGAGGAATCTGGTAAGCTGGTCCCAGCCCAATGATCATGGGAAACTGGTAAGCTAGTCTTGGCCCAATGATCATGGGGATCTGGTAAGATGCTCTTGGTCAAATGATAATGGAAATCTGGTAAATTGGTCTTGTACGACTGATAATGGGAATCTGGTAAGTTGGTATTTTACAACTGATAATGGGAATAAGGCAAGCTGGTATTTTACAACTGATAATGGGAATAAGGCAAGTTGGTCTTGGTCGACGGTAAAGGGAATCTGGTATGTTGGCATTTTACAACTGATAATGGGAATCTGGTAAGTTGGTCTTGGCTGACTAATACTGGGAATCTGGTAAGTTGGTCTTGGCTGACTAATAATGGGAATCTGGTAAATTGGTCTTGGCTGACTAATAATGAGAATCTGGTAAGCTGGTATTGTACAACTGATAATGGCAATCTGGTATGTTGACATTTTACAATTGATAATGGGAATTAGGCAAGTTGGTCTTGTATGACTGATAATGCGAATCTGGTAAGTTGATCTTGGCCAAATGATCATGGATATCTGGTAAGTTGGTCTTGGTTGACTGATAATGAGAATTAGGTCAGTTGCTCTTGGTCAACTGATAGTGGGAATGTGCTAAGTTGGTCTTGTCCAACGGATCCCCCTTACATCAGCACGCAGCCTTCATTGTCTCCCATCTTCCATTTTGCCATATTGAGTTCCCAAAACCATGCATTGATTTGTGACAGAATGGTAGACGTTTGAATTTATTCAATACAAAAAAGCCTAAAAAGTACAGACGCTTATAGCAACCACTGAAAATGATTTTATGGATTGGAATTCAATACAATGAAATTTGATTGGTTGCAATGATTTTAAAAACTTTGCACGTTCGACTTATTCTTGACACCACTTGACATAAGCCAATTAGCAGTTAGATTTTGTTATGCTCAAGGAGGGATATTTGATAAAAAGTAGAGAAAATTGTTAAGTAAAATGCATTAAAAACAAAATCAGCTGCAGACCTTAGTTCATGTAAGAAAATGAAAGGAAATGTGGGATAGATTACCTTGGCTT